CACTCCAGCCTGGGCGACAGAGCGAGACTCCATCTCAAAAAAAAAAAAAAAAAAAAAAAAAAAAAAGAAACACTTTTCCCTTTTAAGGCAATGAGCTAGATATTTATATATTGAATTTTAGGGTCTGTTTAAAACCAACCACTGAATGCATTTGTCTGGAAATCGAGTCCCCAGCCTCATTTCCCAGCCCGACTGCACTTCTCCACACCCCACCTCACCCCACGCTTCTGCGAACCCTTCTGAAAATGTTCGCTGAATGTTCACTGTGGTGCAGCCCCCTCTAGGTGCCGGCAAAACCATGGTGAGAAAAAGCAGACCCATCATGTGCCCCGAGTGCTGATGATGGGGGAGACGAACAAGAACTCAATGATCAATGACACAAGGTAATATTTCGACCACGGGAACTAGAAGGCCCTGGTGCTGGGGCTGGGGAGGGAGGTGTCCCACCAAGACAGGAAGGTCAGCGAAATGAGCTGAGGCCTGAAGGAAGAATGGGATAAGAAAGCCTTTCCAGGCAGAGGGAACAGCATGTGCCAAGACTCTGTGTCAGGGAAACCTGATACTTAGGAGGAACAGAAAGAAGAATCCTCCCTCCAGTTGCCTCCTGCACTTCCCTCCCCCAGGCCATCTTCCTTCCTGTATGATTCCATCTCTGCTTGCTAGAAGCCTCTCCATTCTTCAAAGTCAAGTTCAAATGCCTCCTCTTCCAGGAAGCCTTCCAGGACATACCCTTTGCTCATTCCCTAGGAGGATGATTTCTCCTGCCTGTGATCTCCCTCATCTCCCCCAGCACCTCTTGGGCCCTCATCCATGCCATCTTGTATGTAGGCTCTGTGTCTGTGTCTTATTTTTCCAACTAGGACATACATCCTCAAGGGCAGATACTGTGTCTACACTACACTGGAGAACAGTGTAGACATGAAGTCACGTGGTCCTGGGTTTAAATATTAGTAGAGGTCACTTAAGTAGTAGGACCTTGCATAAATGACTCTATACCTCTTTGGACCTCAGTTTCCTCATCTGGCAAAGGGGGATCATGGGGTGGGGGTATGGTGTGGTTATACAGCCCCCAGCTGGGCTCTGAGCAGCTGTAAGAGAAGGGGCTTGCCAAGGGGCTTGGAATAAAGAAGAGGGGGAAAGACTTGTTATAATTCCCAAAGCCTCAGGGCTTTGAGGGCTTCAAGGGGGTTAGACCTGAGTTTCCCAAATTTGTCCGATGGTAAGAAACACCTGAGTCACTTGTTAACAATGTGTATTCCCAGGGTCTACGCCTGGGGTTCTGATTCAGCAGGACTGGGGTAGACTGATATCTGTGTTCTGGAACTTGTGCTCACATATAGTTCTTATGTAAAATTTGGTGGGGAAACTGAGGCCTCAGAGGGAGGAAGTGATTTTCATGTGCATGGTAGATTAGATCAATGACCCCAGTCATTGATCTTTTCTGTGATAGGATTAGGTACCCACATCCTTTGCCAAGTAACTCTGCAGGGCTCACTCACTGCGCATAGAGTATACTTCCCCATCCCACTGATGCTGGGCTTGGCCGTGGGACTTGTTTTGGCCAATGAGGTATGGTTGGCTCCCTCCATGCTCCTACCCTTTACCTTGAGAGAAACAAGTCTGGGGTGGCTGCCAGTCCAAGGAGAATGAGGAGAAACATGAAACGGGCTGAACCCAACTCACATTCTGGAGTCCTGCCCAGCACAGAGAGCACGGCCAAGATTAGTTAAACCCCAGCTGACCCACACACTGGTGAGTGAGGAAATAAATGTTTATTGTTTAAACTACTGAGTTGTGGGGTGATTTTGTTATGCAGCATTATTGCAGGAGTAACTGACTCATACACTGACTAAATGAATGCTGTTCATTTGCTAATGTCATGCAGCAAATGAATGGCAAAGCCAAGCCTAGGTCTCTGCTCCTAATCCACTGCTTGTTTCTCATTGCTTCTCTGTCTTTAAATCCTGAGGGCTCTCCCTGTATGTCTATTCCCTGGAAACCCCTCACTTCCATAGTCCGCCCCATCTCTACTCCTGGGTACATCCAGCTCCAGACAGCAGGGTCCATCCCAGCAGCCCAGAACCACTTCTAGCTGCTAATAAGCTGAGGCATCTTGAGTAGGCAGTTCCACCTGCAGAGCTCCCAAATGGATGTAGGAGAGTTCCCTGCAACCAGGGAAAGGGCTCCAGGAGCTTCCTTCTGGCTTCTACCAGTTAGAAAGAGTTCTCTCTCCACCACCCCCTTTGGGGTCCTGGGTTTCTCCAGTTCAGAGCTTTGTCAAGCCAGAGAGACGCACAGCTGAGACTTTCTAAACTGTTAGAGGTCTTTTCTATCACTTGCTGGCTTTTTTTCTTCTTTGAGATGGAATCTCGCTTTGTTGCTCAGGCTGGAGTGCAGTAGCACAATCTTGGCTCATTGAAAGCCCTGCCTCCCGGGTTCAAGTGATTCTCTTGCCTTAGCCTCCCGAATAGCTGGGATTACAGGCACTCACCACCACGCCTGTCTAAATTTTGTATTTTTAGTAGAGACAGGATTTCACCATGTTGGCCAGACTGGTCTCGAACTCCTGACCTCATGTGATCCATCCACCTTGGCCTCCCAAAGCGCTGGGATTACAGGCATGAGCCACTGTGCCCCGCTGGTTTTTGAGGGTTTTCTCAGATTGCCTCCTTTGAGTCAGCTCCCTCTGGACCCCAATCTGAGTGGGGCTTAAAGGCACCCAGGGCCTCAAAAGAACTACAGTTCAGTCAGTCACAAACATGCCCTCTCAGCCACAGCAACACCACCAACATTCCCAAATAAAACCACACTCCTCAGACCCAAACACACAGACAGGCAGAGCCACAGTTAGATGTACAAACTCATGCTCAGATACACAATACCCCCTACGCCTGTCCCCAAGGCCCCGCAGGTTGACACATCCATGCTCACAAATGCATGTATACAGAACCCACATGGCCACAGTGATATGCGCTGTAAACACATGGCCACCAAACACATATGACAGCACACTCACACATACACAGACTCAAATGCACAATCAGACCCACAAGCTCAAGGTGCCGTGGATACGTCAAGGACTTCGCCCAAGGACTGCAGTCTGTCAGAGCTAGTCAATTCTTGCCTCTCACTCTTCCTGGCTTTGCGACTCAACTTGTCTGAGCATCATCTGTGAAATGGGGACACGGATGCCTCCTTCTCAGAGAGGCCACAACGATGCAGTGAGGTCATGCATGGAAAACACCCCTCAACCAGGTGAAGTCAGTTGCCCTCTCTCTCTCTTTTTTTCTTAGAGTTTCGCTCTTGTCCCCCAGGCTGGAGTGCAATGGCGTGATCTTGGCCCACTGCAACCTTTGCCTCCTGGGTTCAAGCGATTCTCCTGCCTCAGCCTCCTGAGTAGCCGGGATTACAGGCATGTGCCACCATGCCTGGCTAATTTTTGTATTTTTAGTAGAGATGGGGCTTCACCATGTTGGCCAGGCTGGTCTCGAACTCCTGACCTCAGGTGATCCTCCCGCCTTGGCCTCCCAAAGTTCTGGGATTACAGACGTGAGCCACTGTGCCCAGCCAGTTGCCCTCTCTCTTTCTATGTCCTTGGCATGCCCTTCCTCCCTTCTGAATGCCATTTTTTTCTATTGTTCCTTTCAACATTCTACTGGCTGGGTGCAGTGGCTCTTGTTTGTAATCCCAGCACTTTGGGAGGCTGAGGCAAGAGGATCATTTGAGGCCAGGAGTTCAAGAGGAGCCTGGGCAACATATAAGACTCCATCTCTAAAAAAAAATTTTTTGACTGGTCCTTCAAACTGCAAGTCAAATTCTACCTCCTCCAGGAAGACTTCCTGGGTCTGGACTTCCACATCTGGATCCCTGCATGCTTACCGTGTGGGCCCTACCCTACATCAGAAAGATCAGCTTGGAGGCCCACTCACTTTCCCTCCTGCGGCCTGGCCTCCCTCAGCTCTTCCATGGACACGGCCCTGACCATGCTCACTGTAGGGGTTTGGCAAAGGTTGCTGAGTGAATAACTGAGGGGCATGCTCACAGTGCCAACCGTGAGATCTTCTACCCACAGGTAGCATAATGTCCTCGATAATCACATGTGGCCCTCAGGTGCGGGATGAGGCTGGGAAGCATCTCTGGGACTCAGCCTCACGTGACACTGAGGACAGTGGTCCTGGTGGAGAGGGGAGGCTAGGAGTCCAAGTGAGTGGGGACTAGAGAGAGAACAGGGTGGAGGGGAGACTGCGGTGTTTGGCAACTTCCTTTTTCGCTGTGAGGGAAAGAAGGGTGGTGGGTGGAGGATGACGCGAGGCCACAGAAAGGGTTAGTAAAGGTGAGCTTCAGGAGAGTTTCCCTGGAGTTAGACTGGAGTGGGCTGAGCTTCACAGAAAGCACTTGTGATCGAGGTTCAAGTTAGGCTGCAAGAGATGACACCTCCGGGCTCTCCTGGGTCTCAGTGAGGCCATGTGACTGAGGCCCTGCCCGTGGAATGCATGCAGAAGAGAAAGATGCTGCCTCTACCTACCTTGCTTCAAACATCATGCTGCCCTGTCTTCCCTCTCTTCCCACAGACATGCCTGAGACTCAGTTTGGATCATACAGATAAGGAGCAGGGGGCATGGGGAAATGACACGGAAATCACCTGGGTCCCTGAGTCTCTGAGTGGATCAGAGCCACACCGCTAACGTGGACTGCTCACCTCTGGATTCTCCCATGAAATACATCCACGTTCTTTAAGGTACCTAATGTTGGATCTTTTCGTTACAGCAGCTTAACTTTTACCTTCAATAATATGCACTCAACAAGTGGGAGCAATTATTACCAATACCATCACAATGAAGAGGTAGCACTTACTCTCCCAGGTGGACGGATCACATGAAAAACCTTTGAAAAGAAGAAATCACTCCACAGATGTGAAGGAGTCTTTTGTGAGTCTTGCGTGTGCCCTCCCTGGCACAGCACGATGGGGCACTACCCTGGTCCACGTCGGAAGCGCTTACCTGCCTGGTTGGTGGTGATGTTCACAGAGGCGAACTGAGGCGAGAAGGGGCTCTGGTCAGTAACGCCATTCACGGCCTGGATCTCGAAGGTGTACTGGGTGTGGGCCAGCAGGTCACTGATGTAAATGCGTGGCTCGGTCAGGCCCAGCTGGCGCGGTGCGTACTGCACGTTGTCCCCGCAGCGGGTGCAGGCGCCCCGGCCCGAGCCACAGCTCTTGCAGATGATGTTGTAGACGAGGTCCTCTCGGCCTCCAGAGTCGCGGGGAGGGGTCCACTCCAGCATGAGGGAGGTCTCATTGACACTGGAAATCACAGCCTGGGGCGCAGAGGGGATGGCTGGGGCGGGGGAGAGGTGTTGGTCAGTGGGGGGCTCAGGGGGTACTATCCCCCACTGATCACTCTGTGCCCACTGCTCTGGCTCCAGCCCAGGCCTCCGAAAGGACCTCCTTAAATTCTTTCTCCTGTCTCCCCACCAGAGAGGTGTTTCTGGAGTATAACTTAGGCTGCCGTACATCTGCTCAAACCTTTCCCTCCAGGTTCCAACCTGCTCAGCGTTTGTTACTGAGGATAGTATTTTCGCATTTGGAATTATACCTGCCCAGTATGTATTTTCGCCTTCTTCCTTAGAACAGCTCAGCTTTATTCACGGTGGCAATATGTCCAGCTAAAAGATGGCATTTCCCAGCCTCCTGTGTTTAAGTGCTTGCCACTGATATAGAGCAGAAGTTGTTGACTAGGACTGTTTCTTTAAAAAGAGACAGACAACTATGGCATGTCCCTTTGTCCTTCCCCTCTTCTGCTGCCTAAAATGTGTGTGATGGCTGGGACTTCAGCAGCTATGTTGGACTATGAAGTGACCTTAAGAACAGAAACAACAGTGGCTCACACCTGTAATCCCAGCACTTTGGGAGGCCGAGGCAGGTGGATCACCTGAGGTCAGGAGTTCAAGACCAGCCTGGCCAACACAGGAAACCCTGTCTCTACTAAAAGTACAAAAAATTAGCCGGGCATGATAGCGGGTGCCTGTAATCCCAGCTACTCGGGAGGCTGAGGTGGGAGAATTACTTGAACCCGGGAGGTGGAGGTTGTCATGAGCTGAGATCACGCCATTGCATTCTAGAGCCTGGGTGACAAAGCGAGACTCCATCTCAAAAAAAAAAGAAAAAAAAAAAAGAACCAAAACTAGGTTGGGTGTGGTGGCTCATGCCTGTAATCCAGCACCAGCACTTTGGGAGGATGTGGGAAGATTCCTTGAGCCCAGGAGTTCAAATCTAGCCTTGGCTAGATAGAACACAGTAAGACCCTGTCTGTATGAAAAATTAGCTGGGTGTGGTGGTGCACGCCTGTAATCCCAGGTATTCAGGAGGCTGAGGGCAGAAGGCTGAGGGCACTTGAGCCCAGGAGGTTGAGGCTACAGTGAGCTAAGATTATGCCACTCTGAATGGCAGAAAGTCAGGCCTCAAAGGCCATCGTGGATTGACCATACTGTTCCAGGACTGTCTGCCTTGGGCTCCTTTTGGGTGACAGAATAAATCTGTACAGTTTCAGCCACCAGGGTCAGCTCTGTTACTTACAGCTGAATGTCATCCCTGACAGATACAGGGGTTATGATGCTGTGCTCTTAGTCAGCCCCTTCCTAGAGGACCTTGGGCTGTGATTCAGGCAGCCGCTGCCAGGTTAGAACACTGGGCAGCCTCTTCTGCCACAGACACTACCTGTGTCGCTTCATCTCCTGCCAAGCCTCCCTTCCCTTGTCCCTTTGTGAATCCAGACCTTGACTTGATCTTTCATGTGACTCAGCAGAAGGGGGTAAGGAGCCAGACGCCAGCACCATGGTGTCTGCATGGTGGGAGCACGGCCACCCCAGGATGCCCCTTTCTTGATGCCCCTTACTTTTCCATTTCTCTTCCCACCAGGGAAAGACTGGCTGTAACCGGATGGCACTCAGCCCTCGCTCTGAGCTTTTCTGCAGGTAGACCTGGGACTCGGTCAGGCATCGCCCTTGAGGGGCCCCGGGACTTACTTGTGCAGGGCATGTCCAGGGGATCCAGGTCTGCTCTGTAGTAGCCATTGCGGCAGACACAGTTGGTGGCCCCTTCAGAAGTGGTCCGGCTGTTGATGGGACAGTGGGTACAGGCCTTGTCTCCTTGGTTGGCCTTGAAAGTTCCAGATGGACAACCTGAGAGAGAAGACAAGGAGAGTCACCAGGAAACCAGATGAAGACTCAGGGAGGTCACGAGCCACGCAGCCTCACGCAGGGGTCACACAGCCTCGCAGAGGGGCCCTGCAGCACCATTGCTGGAAAATCTCATCTCTTGAAGTGTTTGAAGTCTCCAGACCCCAACGTGGGAGTTCTTATTCTGCCAGGGCTCCCTAGTTTCTTGTCCCTGAGCTGTCTAGGGCTCCCAGCAATCTTCCCTCACCTATCCCAGCCTGGCTGTGTCACGGTCTCTAGAATCAATCCTGACCTAGTTACGAGGCACATCTGAAGACGTCTGGGGCAGTGTGCATGGGTTCCGGTCTTGCTTACTAATGTCTGGCTGGGTGCTGATTCTTAGAACTAGATTCCTGGGTTGCAGACAATTGAGATGACTACACGGCAGAAGAAAAGTCCTAGGGCAGCATAGAGAGGCGATGTGGCAGAACAGAAGAGAACACTACTTTTGGAATCAGACCGACCTGGCTTTGAGTACTGGTTAGGCCTTTTACTAGCTGTGCAGCCCCAGACAATCTGCTTAACTACTCAGACTCAGTTTTCTTATTTGTAAAATTAGGATTCTAAGGCCCATCCCTGTAGGGTCATTGTGAGTATTCTGCTTAAGCGTAAGGCACATGGCACAAGGCCTTGCACAGTATAGGTGCCCAATGAATAGTAGCTGTTATAGTTGGTATGTGATCAATTTATTAAAATATTAATAAAAGGGGCCTGCAGTACCAGGGCCAGCCTAAGGAGGGCACTGCTTGCACTCGGCCCACATTTGCACTCGGCCCGCATTTGGCTTCTCCCATGGGCTGTGGCCATCATCCCTGATACGGAGTCCACCCCCCATGCAGCTCTGAGTATGAGGTCAGGGCCTATAAGAGGCAGCCACCTTGTGTGCACACATATTCAGATCCACCTTCCTCTTCTTGCTGGCCCTGGGCTGAGAATTAGGAGGCTGAGGGTCTAGACCCTGCCCCTCTCCCAGCTTCAGCCTGCTGGGTTCATGAACCCAGCTCTGCTATCATACCTTGAAGGGATTGTGCAATGGGTAAGTGGGTGGACACGAAAGAGCTTTGCAACAAACATTTCGTCTCCTTGGGATGAAATGCAGCTAAACCATCCACAGGCCCCCAGGCCCTCACCGGGAGTACATTTCATGCCTGGGTGCTGTGGGTTCTTCAGCAAGTGACTCAGCCTCTCTGAACATTAGTTTCTGTGTATATAAACAATTAACATAAATTTCCCTAGTTCATTTTTTTCCACCTCTAGTCTTCAAGGCTTATCTTCCCAGTCCAAGTATTAGCAAACCACTCTCCCTCAACCCTCAACCAGCTCTGGCCTCAGAGACCCTGCCTTTCTTGGTGCCCAGAACATTGCTTGGGTTCAGAGTGCTCTACTTACCCACCATAATTATTTTTCTGGGGGTCTCCTGGCCATGCTCTCAACTCCCCCAGGATCAGAGCCATGTCTGACTCACAGCTGCTTGTCCTGTGCCTAGCTTGGAATCTGCACTCAGCAAGTGCTCTATAAATACTTCTTTTGTTGTTGTTATTAAATTTTTTTGGTTTTGTTTTGTAGAGATGGGGGTGTCACTATGTTCCTCAGGTTAGTCTTGAACTCCTGGGCTCAAGCAGTCCTTCTGCCTCGGCCTCCCAGAGTGCTGGGATTACAAGCATAAGCCACCACACCTGGCCCATAAATACTTCTTGGAGTTGCCTGCTTAAGTGGAATGAGCATGGGCTTTGGAGGCCATGCAAGCAGGAGGGCAGTGAACATAGTGGTTAGTGTGCAGGCTGCTGGCAAACCCAGACCCCGCTGTGTGAGCAGTGTGGCCTCGGGGAAGTCACTTAAACTGTTTCCTTATCTGTAAAATGGGACAATGGTATCTATCTCCTAGGGTTGTTGTCAGTTTATATTGCTTAACTTATGTAAAAACACTTGTAACAATTCCTGGCAGTATTAAGCCATCTGGTTCAAAAGCAATTTGCTGAGTGACCTTTGACAAGCTGTTTGACCTCCCTGAGCTACACTATTCTCACTGGTAAGAGCATCTACCACACAAAGTGGCCGTGAGGTTTACTGCACTGGCTCTGGGTCCCCTGAGTCCTCCTGCCCTCCCTCTCGTCTTCCTCTTGGGCACCGACCTTTCCCTGATGGCTGGATGAAGGGGCAGTCTCACCATCTTGGCACTGCCCAGAGCTTCTGGGCAGTCAGGACACGCAGGCTGCAGCCCCAGCTCTGGTTAAGCAGTTGGCCTCTCTGAACGGGTTTCCTCCTCCACAGAATGGGGGCACAAGGTTCCCAGGAAGGTCTAGAACCATCCTTAGAGATGCCAAAGGGTTTTGGCCCCAAGATCAGGCTCCTCCTGCTCCCTCTCTGGAGACAGCCTACCCGATTCAGCATCCCTCGTCCATCTGTGGGGCATTCCCGGGGGGGCTGCCAGTGGGTAGCTGCTCTCTCTCCCCTCTGTGTGGTGCCAGCCCTTCCATCTGGACTGCCTTCCTGGCTACCCTCTCCCCCTGGCAGTGTCCTGGCTCCTTCTCAGATTCCCAGACCACCCCTGCCCTAAGCTGCCCTTCATTTGCTGTGTTGCCTGGCCAGGTTCGACCCCCACCACCAGGCACTGTATCATTTCTGTACCTATGGCACTGTGCTTCATGAAACTCACTCTTCTCTGTCCTGGGAAGTGGCGTCACTCTCTACCCTGTCCCCCTGTAGCCAATCAATTACTAGGTCTTCCCTCCTCAGCAGTCTCTGGTCTTGTCTTGGCCGCTCCCCCCGCTGCCAGCATCTAGAAAGCTCTTTCCACCCATGCCTCAGCCTCTCATGCCATCTGGCCTCCTCCCGCCCACCCACTCTCCAAACTAGCTCTCTGGAGTGCAGACCTTTCCAAGTCACTTAAAAATCCACAAAGGCACATACACTGGAATACTATTCGGCCATAAAAAGGAACGAAGCATTGACACATGCTATAGCACAGGCGACCCCCGGACACATCGTGCTCAGTGAAAGAAGCCAGCCATGAAAGCAGGATTCCATTTATATGAAACAGGCCCAGCACAGGCACATCGAAAGAGACAGAAAGTCGATGCATGGCTGCCAACGGCTGGGCATAGAGGAGCAGGGGGAGGAGCTGCTAATGGGGAACAGGGCTTCTTTTTGGGGTGATGAATATGTTCTAAAATTGATGGTGGTGATGGTTGCACAATTCTTTGAATACACTAAAAACCATTGATTTGTACAATTTATTTTATTTTTTTTGAGATGGAGTCTCACTCTGTCACCCAGGCTGGAGTGCAGTGGCGCAATCTCGGCTCACTGCAGCCTCTGCCTCCTGGGTTCAAGCGATTCTCCTGCCTCAGCTTCCCAAGTAGTTGGGACTACAGGCGCGTGCCACCACGCCTGGCTAATTTTGTATTTTTAGTAGAGACAGGGTTTCACCATGTTGGCCAGGCTGGTCACGAACTCCTGACCTCAAGTGATCCACCCACCTTGGCTCCCAAAGTGCTGGGATTACAGGCGTGAGCCACTACACCTGGCCTGATTTGTACAATTTAAATAGGCAAATTGTATGGTATGTGAATTTTATTTCAATGAAGCCACTATTTGAAAACGTCCACACCAGCTCCCCAGCAGACATGGGAAGCCCAAACTCTGCAGGGCCCCTGGGCCCCAGGGGGCTGGTACTTGCCCACCACTCCTACTTCAGTGTCTGGTGCTCTCCCACACTCAACTAGATACAATGTCCACCCCAGGCCCACCTCACGCCCCTGGCTTTTGTCCATCTGCTGTTGTTGCTTAGAATGCCTCCCCTTCGCCATCAGGCAAACTCCTAGACTCTTTTAAGACATCATTTCTTCTAGGAAGTCTTCTCTGAGCCCCCTGGCAGCGTCTATTTTATTTATTTATTGAGATGGAGTCTCGCTCTGTCGACCAGGCTGGAGTGCATCGGCATGATCTTGGCTCATTGCAACCTTTGCCTCCCAGGTTCAAGTGATTCTCCTGCCTCAACCTCCCAAGTAGCTGGGATTACAGGCATGCACTACCACGCCGGGCTAATTTTTTTGTATACGGTACCTATTTTAATTACTTATGAATGTGTCTACCTGGCTGGATTGTAAACTCCCAGTATACTGTTGGGTTCCTAGCGGGTGATGGGTGGATGAATGAGGAGCTGGAAGGCGATCGAGCCCTACCCCCTTAGTTGACATTTGAGAAAACTGAGGCCCAGAGAGGAACAGACAGGCATAGCTCTTCAGTAGCACAGGCCAATTCTGATCCCAAGTCTACTGTGTGACCGTGGGGTGCGCTGGGGCCTCAGCTCCCATCAGCTACCTCTGAGAGGTCTGGGTGGCCACTGTCCACAGCACCCAGGGGGCCACACTGCTCCCAACTTCTGGGTGGGAAGGGAACCTGTCCTGCTGGCATCTGCATGTCATGTGCAGTAGTGGAAAGAAGATAATGAGACCTGAAACACAGGAAGGCAGCTGTACCTCTGACAGGTGTGTGGGCTTGGGAAGGCCTTCTCCCCTCTGAAACTCAGTCTCCTCATCTGGAAAGGGGGCTAATGATGCCTGCATGGAATAATGACAGAGACAGCCACTGAATGGGTCTCTGCTCCACTGTGGCCTCTCTGCCAATCCTCCACAGTCCCTGGAGTGATCTGTTTAAAATGAATCAGACCCGCGGCACCTTGTCTAAAAACTCCCTCATGTGCAATTTATCCCCACTGCACTCAGAATAGATCCACACGCCTAGCCTGGCTACAAGGCCTGTGACGTTGGTCCTGATGGTCTCCTGGCTGCTTCCCCCTCCTCCCCTCACTCACTGTGCTCCCGCCTGTGGTCATCAAACCCGTTCTCACCTCCAGGCCTTTGGCCAAGCTGTTCCCTCTGCCTGGAATGCTTTCCCTGCTCTTCCCATGGCTAGCTCTTTTTCTCCTTCAGGCCCCAGCTTAAATGTCACCTCCTCTGAGA